CCATGTGCTGCTTTGCTCCCTCACTCCTCTCATAACAGTATCGCATCTCAAGAACAGAGATTGTGTTACACCTTGCCGCCTAGATTAAACAGCGGCAACGCTGGTGAGTGACACTCCTGATTTTGTGGCCCTCATACCACGCCAATCAAGTGTACTGACATTTTCCATGTTTGTCTGCAAAGAGTCCCAGAAAAGAAATGCCAGTGAGCAAGACGTCAAGGCCTTCAATGTGACATTGCCTCAAGTAAATGAAGAATTAATCCGAGACACGCCTTTCCCTCAGGTAACACACTGGAAAAATTCATTCAATGGATACAGCTGCACAAACGTAATGAATGAAGTCCACTGAAAGACCCGTACATGTAAAAAATAAATCAATAAAATATTTTCGGATAGGGATGTTCGATACCGCTTCTTTTTTTTTCTAGACTATTGTGTGCATGACACTTTACCGTGACATTCTTTCCTGAGCAGAACAAAGTGTTTTTGTTTTTGTTTTGTTTTTTTTTTTTTAAAGATAAGCCATTCATTTATACAGGTGATGACGCAATGGAGGTGGTCTCGATCTGAGGAGATGCTGTGAATTGATAGCTCAAAATAAAGAGTAAATGTTCCGGTGATGTATTCCTTCAGGGTTGGCCGTGCCCTTCTTGCACGTACATCAACAAACCGACTCGGCCAGGCTGCGAGATTTGCAGCACGAACCGCCCTGAGACCTACGCTGTCCCGGGCGAGTACCAACCGGACTCGCTGGAACTCCGATGGCTCCAGCAGGAGAAGGATGCAATCAGACAGTACCAGCTGGTAGGAAGACCGTTCTTTATCTGGGAATAGACACCAACATGTAGGAGTTGTCCTGACAATGACCAGACATCTGGACTATTTGGCGAGTGTCGTAGAAATATCATTAGAATGCAAGTGATCCGCTCGTATATTTGGGGTTGAACACACGAGCGTCGGCAGGAAGGCGACATACTTCAGGCTGACTCTCTTCTCTTCTGTCTCTTTTTTTCTTGAAGGAGAAGGAGAAAAGAGGGGAGCTGAGGGGTGCGGGCACTCAAAACAACTCCCTGCTCTATAACCTGGCCCAGGACTACCAAACACGAACGCACTCCCAGGCAAACACATGCACCATTGTTTAGAAGCAGTGACTTGCGAAAATATTAGACCCACCCTGAACTTTTTGAGCTTTGGCGCGTGCAAAATTATTCACCCCTTTTCTCCTGTGTTGTAAGCGCAACCCAGTCCTTGTTGCGTATTATGGTGATAAATATTTGTGTTTATGTGCATCCAGCATACCATATACATTTTTGTCATCGATCTGGTTAGGAAGCCTGTGGTCCTGTGTGCCCTCCCCAGCAGTGCTGATGAAAAAAAGTTTTCCCATCCCCGCTGTATACAATACCCACAGTCTAATTGCAGCTGTGTCCTAAGTTATGCCAATAATGTACAATAAGGTCATGGCTCATGGAAATCCTTCTTGTCCCAGGCAAGAGAAGAGGAACGGCAGCAGAATTTTGCCCAACTGGTGAGGATGGACGGCCAGGACTTGGTACCAAATCCCGAGCCTTTGGACTGCAGAATCTGCTATGTAGAACTTAAGCCAGGAGAGGGCGCAATGCTCAGGGAATGTCTCCACTGCTTCTGCAAGTAAGAAGAGTGACGAGGGAAGTCTTACGTGTTATAAAATGTGGCATATTAAGCAGGGGAGGCACTCCATAGACACTCACTGGCCTTATTGGGTAGAGCTTCACAAGCTTCGAGACCAACTACAACGACATGTATCAACAATTCTGCCCCTACAGCAAGACAGCCCATTAGAAAGACAGCAAAAACACAAGGTTCGGCCAAATCCGCGACTATATTTTTGTGAATGTTTGCCTAGAGACTGCTTGCGTTCCGTCATTATGCTGAGTGAGGAGCCGGAAGTGTCCTGCCCCTACAGAGATGACACGTATGCCTGCACGTGCTCCTTGCAGGAGAGGGAGATCAGAGCCGTGAGTAAGCCCGAGACACTTTGGAAGCTGTGCTCCGCTGCTCTTCTCTTAACGTTTGTCTTCAACCCGTTTGGAAGTTGGTTACACCAGAGCAGTACCAACGTTGGCTGCAGAGAAGTCTGTCCGTGGCGGAGTCCCGATGCGAAGGAAGCTACCACTGTGCCACCGCAGACTGCCCGGGCTGGTGCGTGTACGAGGACACGGTCAATGTGTATCACTGCCCCGTATGCACGAAGGAGAACTGCCTCATTTGCAAGGTAATAATTACCACACGTGTTGCACAACATCAAAAAATAAATACTTTTGCAAAGTGACAGCCAGTGGCCAACATATTAAATGTAACGATGCAAAAAAAAAACATTGGCTTCCTTCAGGCTATTCATGAGGGAAAGATTTGGCAAAGTGACAGCCACTGGCCAACATATTAAATGTAACGATGCAAAAAAACCAAACAAACAACATTGGCTTCCTTCAGGCTATTCATGAGGGAAAGAACTGTAAGCAATACCAAGATGATCTTGCGGCCCGCGCGATCAACGACTCTGCCGCACGGAGGACAACAGATCTACTTCAAGTGAGCATCATGCACAGCATTGCAAGCGTGTATCCGTCGTCCAACGGATATCTTGCTTTTCACTAACAGACATTAGTGCAATCCGGGGAGGCAATGCACTGTCCCCAGTGCGGCATCATTGTGCAAAAGAGGGACGGCTGTGATTGGCTGCGCTGCACTGTCTGTCACACTGAAATCTGCTGGGTCACCAGAGGGCGACGCTGGGGGCCAAAGGTGGGTTGTTCCACCACGATGGCGTGCAAGACCCATGTTCACGTATTCATTTTCATCCAGACGATTGTGACGCTAATAAAACAACAACATGTTTGAAGCAATTGAAACAATATTTTTGTATGTCATTGTTTGTTTTCAAGGGTCCTGGCGACACCACTGGAGGATGTCGCTGCAATGTCAACCGTCAAAAGTGCCATCCAGATTGTCAAAACTGTCACTGAGTCGTTCAAGTGTGGTTTGTATGGAAACGATTGATCTAGAAACCAAATATTGTCACACCAAGTGTTCGCTGAACAAGTTGAGAGCCAAAAGCAGACTGTGAAAGGTTCTCCCGTAAAATGCACAAGCTTTCTGATAACATAATCATGACTCTTGTATGCGGTGCCTTTTGAAAATAATTTCCTCTGCAAATCTAGCCTTCCAGATGTGCGTGAGATGCAATACATGACACCAAAGTGGACTTTTCCTCAATCAGGGTGTTCTTCCCTGTGCCTGTGCAATGTCGATTATTTCTTAGAACTTTATATTGACTTCTATAGTTTTTATAAGCATGTGTGCTTTGTTCCTTAATCTGATTTTCTGCCCGCTGAATGGAAACTGCATGTCGTCTATGTTTGATATCATGTAGCAGCTGATGGGAAAACAGGTACCGTTCATGCTAAATTCATTATCATGACCTGGGTGAGTAGCGTATTGATTAGTGGTCTAACAGTAATACTGAAACTTGTCATATGTCAACACATGTATAAGCCGATGGCCCCTTCCAAATCTGATTTATATATTCGATAGATCCGTAAAATGTATCTGTGAGGATTCGCGATCCACTGTTTGCTTCAAATGCATGGTTTGAATGTCATGATGTAAAATTTCAAGCAGTGTCCCCTTAAGAAAAAAAAAAATCCACCTTAAATAGAGTACCTCCTTCAAAGCACCACCACCCTGCACTGACCAGCCATGCAAAATACTGCACTGTCTTAACTTGTGATCAAATTTCATCAATGTGTGGTGTCTGGTGTGCCTTAATGCTCATTAAATACCCTTTATACGATGACCTTTTGTGGGTGCTCCTTTTAAAATGCACTATTCATCTGTGCCTGCTGCAAACAATGTTAAACTACACGTACTCATACTTGAAAAACTAATCGCTTATGCAACTGATAAGCACTGTATGAAATAGAAGAAGCAAAACCTTTATTTGTCTCACAATGGAGAAATTCGCAATTGTGTAGTACACCATACACAAGAGCTGAGAATGCTGATATTGTAGTCACACTAATGAACGGGGTGTCTTGAACGTGCTGGCATCAAGAAAAGAACAAATTGATATCAGTAGAATGTCACAGCTGCAGAAAGCATCAATACTGCACACAATCATTCCCATTTATTACATATTGATGTAAATATATGACCAAAAGTAAAAAACAACAAAATACATCATAATATACACGAATGTAAAGCAGGTTGCTGCATATTTCAGAATCCTGCACGAACTTTGCTCTGACCTCCACAAAGAGGGAAACTCTAAATCAGAGTGGTTGAGGAAACACTCCCGTTCCTAAATTGGACCGCACTGTCGAGTCTAATTAAAAACCAAGGCCAGACTCCAGTCTATGAGAGGGCTTTCGCTTTTCATTTCAAATCTACTCTGTACTTGCTGTCTTGAGAGCGCATTCAGTTTTATTTTGAAATCTATCCTGCCTTTTCCGGTTTGATGACGGTGCCTGGCTGCAGCCAGTCGGAATTGACAAGTAAGCGCATGGAGGATGACATCTGATTGGTTAAAACATCCAACATCAACACCCAAATTCATTACAGGAAATACAACGCATAATTTAACGTCGCATTTAAAGAATTAAATGATAGAATTTAGGTTGTAAATTTCGGTCAGTTCTTCTGATAGTGTTGAGGCTACCTGCAAAATCCCTGCTGACTCGAACGTACCACCACTTGCTCGAAAAAAAAAAACGTTTTTAAACGTTAAATGATATTTAGTTCAACGGGTATTTAAAATGTTATTTCTGTTTCTCATTGTGTTTTCATATTACATCCGTAAATTGCAAAATTGTACCACGTGTTTGGCAACTGCCCTTTACTTTTTACCTTGTCTGACTTGTTATGATTACTGTATTAAGAAAAAAACATTTTTGCTGTTGGGAGGATTCCAAGGGGGTGGAGCTCCAGATACGCGCACGTTTGTGTTTGTGTGCGTGTGTATGTGTGTGTGTGTGTGTGTGTGTGTGCGTGTGTGTGTGCGTGCGTATAGTTTCAAGAGCACGAGAGAGGAGGCTTTCAGGACGCGAAAGGCTTGACGCAGAACGAACTTATCGTCGATCATCTTGCGGCTGACGGGTGAGTTGAATCAGTTAGCATTTCATCGACTGCACTGTAACGCACCGCACTCGCGAACACGAACGAAGTCGACCACTTGCACCCCAGTCTTGCTGCAAACCTTTTGTGAATACAGTTGTGACGTTGCATGAGGACAGACTTGCGTTCTATTCCTGACCACATGGATGTACAATAGTATTTTTTTTCCCTGCCCCACTCTCATTTGTACACGTGTCATATTTCCGTTCTGAATACTTGTTATGCGTACTGTATTAATATGATGCAACGTGCGTCTCAAATCGTAACTCATTTTGCAGTTGTCGACCAAGTTGCAAGTACATACTGTAGTGCTTAAATGTCAGGCATCTCTAGTAGTTTGCACAAGACCAAAAACAGTCACTGGTTGAACCTATCAAATGTAGGCATTTGTACCTCCCACTACTCTTAGCCTCTAAAGTTCAATGCAGCAAATAATAAAATAAATAAATAAACTCCGCGTTGTCGGTACAAAATGAGCAGAGCACACACTCCCTCACCCAGATGTCTTTCCCAGGTGTCCACACTGCTCACCATGGCCCACACTGAAGGGAAGTTTGACTTTGCCATCGACCGAGGAGGAACCTTCACAGACGTGTTCGCTCGCCTACCAGATGGCCGTGAGAGGGTCCTCAAACTGCTCTCCCGTGACCCTCAGAACTACGACGACGCCCCCACAGAGGGCATCCGCAGAGTCCTGGAGGAGGTAAACCTTGATGTCTGAGCTGCAACAACAGTAATCTCCGGCAGTGTTGATCAAAACAGAGCATGGTTATTTTTCCCACTCTTCAAGTGTTTGATTTCCCAGCTGACCTTTGGTGAGAGATTATTGCAGATCATGAAAGCACTGTCAAACAACAATATCACAGATGCCCTTGTTTTATTTCTATGTGATACGTTTGAACCGAATTTGCGTTCTGTCTGTGTCTTGGTCGACAGGAAACAGGACGCGCCTTTCCTCGTGACCAGCCCGTCGACACGTCTCGCATCGGCTGGATCCGAATGGGCACAACGGTGGCCACCAACGCCCTACTCGAGAGGCAGGGGGAGAGGACGGCTCTCCTGGTCACCAAAGGCTTCAAAGACTTGCTGCACATTGGAACGCAGGCCAGGCCTAAGCTGTTCGACTTGGTTGGTAATCCTCACACTGCAGCAAAAAAGTCCAATACGGTTACTTTGGAAGCCTTTGGGGATAAGCCGGGTTGTTTTGTCATCTTTCAAAGAACCGTTTTAGAGTTTGCCCCTTGACCAGTGAACCATTAATGGTGAAGTAGTTGCTTATCCATGAGGGTCAGTGTTGGAGGTTAAACAGAAGTCATTTGTGCTTGTGTAAAGTGTCATTTACAGTTGTATAAATTATACTCTGATCCCACCTTGCTCTACAAAGGACGCATGTACGTCCGTATGTCTCTATATGTACCTTCCTATCGGTTTATCTTCGCCGCTCTGTATGTGTTCCGGCGTCCTTCATTGTTTTTTGCACATTGTCCAGTTTGACAGAACGTATTGTATCATATGTGCATTCACAGGAGGTGTCAGTGCCTGAAGTTTTGTATGAGGAGGTTATCGAGGTGGATGAGCGTGTGGTCCTCAAGCAAGATGGCTGCCTGCTACCCAGAAAGGATCGCAAGCGCGTTGTGACAGGTGAACAAATGATCTCCCCACATACACTTTTGGAATGTTTTGTTTTTTTTAGAGCTTCATCAAATTATAATCAATGGGGCATCACTTTGTTTGCATTAAAGCCTATACAAGAGTATACAAGAGTACCATCGTTTTTCTTGTTTCCATGTTGTTCCTCAGAATGGTGCCATACTGACAATGCTTGCATTGGTGTCAAGCATTCTCTAGTTTTTATTGGTGTTTGTACGGATGCTTATGTGACTCATGAATGTGCTTGATTTGCTTTTTTGGGTGTCACTCTCCAGGAAGCACCGGCGATAGTCTGGAAGTATGGCAGGAGGTTGATCTGGAACGTGTGGAGAAGGACTTGAAAGGAGTTCTGTCCCGTGGAATCACCAGTGTGGCTGTGCTTCTGCTTCATTCCTACACGTCAGTGCGGCTGCATGCGTTTTACTCTTAAGCTAAGTCTACGTGGTCAAACATGAAAAGAAAAAACAAAAAAAAAAAGCTTCCTACCTCTGCGGCCTAAAGATCTACGTCCACAAACAATGACGTTTGAAGAAAATCTCTGTACACGTGAAACCATATTTGTTGGCTCGAAAATGCGTTTTAGCCAATCCAAAGCCAGCGTTTGCGGAGAACAATGCATTTTGTATCATGCGAACATGACCTTGAGGACACATACAGACTTCTCCCTCCAAATGGCATCAACTGGTTTGGACGCTGTTAGGTGATGAAACAAGTGAGCTGTGACTGCAAATGTCCTTTTCCCCGTCGCAATCTCTTTCCACCTCAGGTGGTCCGACCACGAGAAAGCCGTGGGCGCCCTGGCTCGTCGGCTGGGTTTCACCCAGGTCTCTCTGTCCTCCGAGGTGATGCCCATGGTCAGGGCGGTCCCCCGAGGTTACACTGTCTGCGCCGATGCCTACCTCACCCCCAAAATCCGGGAGTATCTTAAAGGCTTCACCTCGGGCTTTAAGGGGGCTCTGAAGGTAAGCTCTTTTACTTGAGCGTTATGTCGTCCGTCATGAACGTAGAAAGTGTGACGTGTTGCTAAGTAATAGCAAAAATTAAGGAGAAGGAAGTTCAAGCATCAACTCTCGGAATGTGGCTGTTGGCACAGTCCGGAGACAAACTTTAGACTGACGCTGACTAGCTTGAAATAGTGCTCTGTCCTACCTCCTTTACCAGTGGAAAAGCAAACCTTTCGCCTTTTCTGGACATTAGCTACAAAAGTAGTTGGGCAGGAGCAGATGTTATTATACGTCCATGTACAGTATATTGACGACATGACATGTAAATGTAAAATGAATAGGTGTAGAAGATGGATGAGTTGATCATTTTTAATACGGCACAAAAATGTGCCTGGTGTCTTCCCACAACCGTTTAATCTCGCGTTACCCTGTGTCATCAGGATGTGGACGTCCTGTTCATGCAGTCGGATGGTGGTCTGACTCCTATGCAGCAGTTCTGCGGTTCGCGCGCCGTCCTGTCCGGCCCAGCCGGTGGAGTCGTCGGTTACGCTGTCACTTCTTACAGCCAGATGGAGAAGAGACCTGTGATTGGCTTTGATATGGGTGGTAAGTCCGGGCTATGGTTTGGTATGTGCAGTATGAACATTTGTCTCATGACCAAAAAAAAAAAAAAAAAAAAAAAAAACGCCATTCTGTGGCCAGAGAAAAAATCCTGCTTTCTCGACCTCCGCAGGCACATCTACCGATGTGAGTCGTTACGCGGGCCAGTTTGAGCACGTTTTTGAGGCGACTACAGCTGGAGTCACCCTGCAAGCGCCTCAGCTCGACATCAACACCGTTGCGGCGGGCGGAGGCTCGCGACTCTTCTTCAGGTCTGTCATAGACATTTTTGTACTTGGTTACTGTGCTTCAGGAGATTTGTTTTTCCAGGTATCTACTACAGTTGTGTTTATTTTTCCGACTCTCTACTGTTACTCGATACCTTAGAAAATATATCCGGGCATTACATAGTCTTATGTTTTTTGTGTTTTCGCTTTGTTGCCCAATTGTATCAAAACCCACAGGGAGTTTTGCCTTCGGAAGTTGAAGTCACTCTCACCACTATAGCAAGAAATAGACAAAGACAAAATATACATTAAGGTCATGAACACAAATGTACAGTATGCAGAGAGTCATGAAGCAAGATAGAGTGTCCCGTAGTGCAACAAAAATGCAGAGTGACGGAGCTGTATGAGATTTAAAAAAAAAAAAAGACATCAACCGATTGGCTCATTGATTTAGATCTTAGGAACTTGGGGGGAAAAATAAAACATTGAGACGGCAGGGACATTGAGAAACACGAAGCAGGCAGCATTTACACGCAAAGCCGCAACAGATTCAGAGAAGCAAGATATAATCATCGTCTGTGGCCTGATTTAAGAGAATTGCTCAAGTCAAGAATACTTTTTGGGGCATATCTTATCTTCTGCCATCCACTTCAAGCTTCTGGCAATATTCTGAGAAAAAACAGAGCACTATGAAAGTCATTGAAAGAGGGAAACTATAATTAAATGTTATGGGTTTTTTTTTTTGTTTTTTTTGTTTTTTAATGCCAAATTAGCAAAATGGGTATTTTATGTGATTGACCGTAATAATGTGTTTTTACTTTAAAGTCTGTACTTTTTTCCTCTGACTTGAGGATTTGAATCAGAAATTTGACTTTTTTTTTAACTCAAGTATCAAGTACTTCAAGTATGTGTACTTCAACTCAAGTGACAGAGTGTGAGTACATTTCACACGATTGCGTTGCGGCTATGTGCAGTAAATATTGGCATGATGTCGCATGTCTTTGCTGACGGGTGTTTGTCTTCTCATTTCGCTTTCCTTGTCAGGTCAGGGATGTTTGTTGTTGGACCGGAGTCTGCCGGCGCACATCCAGGACCGGCCTGCTATCGGAAAGGTAATGTACAAAACCGTCAATGATTTACTGGTGTTTTGACATATGTGCATTGCAATGGTGAAGCGTAACCTGACGTCCCTTTTGGATTTTCCTAGGTGGTCCTCTGACTGTGACGGATGCTAACTTAGCTCTCGGCCGCCTCCTCCCTTCCTTCTTTCCCAAGATCTTTGGGCCCGGCGAGAACGAACCTCTATCCCTGGAAGAGACCATGACGCATTTCCGGTGTCTGACCAAAGAAATCAACCACTTCCTGTCCTCTAACCAATCACAAGTAGATTGTGCTAATGTTTAGGCCAATTTGAGCAACATACGAAGTTGTTTTGAACATATATCTAATTTTATTTATGTATTTATTTACAGGCTAGTGCAAATGGCACAAACCCCTCAAACAATGGTACTTTGCCCAAAAGCCAGTCTGAAATGACTTTGGAAGACGTGGCCATGGGATTCGTCCGCGTGGCAAATGAGGCCATGTGTCGGCCAATAAGAGCCCTGACGCAGGTATCCAAGTAACAGGGTCGAGTTTTGCATTTGGGTCGGCGAAATGGGTTGAATGTTAACTAGCGTGTATACACTCCAGGCAAAGGGCCACGACACATCACAGCACGTGTTGGCGTGTTTCGGGGGCGCCGGTGGCCAGCATGCCTGTGCAATCGCCCGATCCCTTGGGATGAAGACCGTCTTCATACATAAGTAATCATGATACTTGAGAGTGATCTTTCCTTGTTTGCCTTCGTCTCACTGGACACTCTATTCGGCACACGCGGGCAACGTTAGCCAATAACAACCCTCCATTAGTATTTGCATTTTCCTGTTAGGGTATCTGGATCACATTCCACTTTGGCCAAAAAGTGGGTATACCCTGTAGTGGTCCCCAAGCAGTTACAGGTCATATACAGATAAACAGATGGACACGACCTCAGACGGTGTTAATTCAAGTTTTAAAAGTTCAGTTGACATTTGCAGATTTAGTTCGATCTCATTGGATTGCGCAGGTGTACCCGACGTGTTTTTGTTGAGCTTCACATATATACTACACACCATCATTTTTAGCTTGTAATATTTGTAACTTGCTTGCTGTACGGCGTTTTTAGGTACAGTGGCGTGCTATCAGCCTACGGGCTGGCTCTAGCGGACGTTGTAGAGGAGGTCCAGGAGCCGTGCTCGCTGCGGTATGAACGCAGCTCTTTCAGCGAGCTCGACCGTCGAGTTGAACTGCTCTCCAAACGCTGCCACGACACACTGTGCGCACGTGGGTTCAACAGGTACGTCTCGCGCTGTTTGCTTCTTGCAAGACGAATGTCGCCGTTTTGTAACTTGGCATTCAAACCAGTCTTTCGTATCCTCTCAGTGGCCAGATAACCACTGAGGTTTTTCTCCACCTGCGCTACGAGGGCACAGACTGCGCTCTCATGGTGACCGCAACCGACTACCCCAGCAGTGAACAGACTTGTCAAGCTGGCGACTTCCGCGGTGCCTTTACGCAAAGGTTTGTGCGCTAAGATTTCGATCGCGTCTGACCGTATGACATTGAGCGGAGGCTTTGTTCTTGTCTAGGTATCAAAAGGAGTTTGGTTTCACCATCCCAGAGAGACCCATCATGGTAGATGACATCAGAGTGAGGGGCTGCGGCAAGTCAGGCATCAAATTGACGTACAAACCAAAGAAGGGGCGCGGTCAGGCCAAACCTGTCACGGTATTTGGACTTTTTTTGCAAAATAACATCAAAAAAAAAAGACATCCCTACTGCTTACCTCAAATCATAAAGGCTTGTGGTGTGGACAGGTGCTCAATGACAATGTGTCACCATTGCTCTTACCCCTAGATGACCAAATGCTACTTCGAGGACGGTTACCATGACACCGCGGTGTATCTGTGGGAGGAACTTCTTTGTGGTCACGCCATCCTGGGACCAGCCATTATCATTGACAAGAACAGGCACGGGCACTTGAGTTACGCTTTGAAATAGCTGTGGCTTTGTCATTGTTGTTGCTACACCCACACAGATATGCGTGTTTTGCAGTGCATTGTACTGCTTGCTGTTATTTGCCCCGTTCGTGTCATTAACGAGGTGACCACAAAAAAAAAAGTGTGATTTCGTTGCTATTCCACAAAAGAAGCCGTCATGAAAAATTTCAATCAAATGTAGGCATGAGATTTATTGAAAGACAGACCTCTCGTATTGGGTTTCATTCCATTTTGTCGGGTTGGCTGATGAATAGTTTTGTATTTCGTCCTCAGCACCATCTTGGTGGAGCCTTGCTGTGAGGCCTGTTTGACAGAAAGGGGGGACGTGTGCGTGACGGTTGGCTCCGACCCCCACTGCGCAGTGGGTACAGAACTCAACACGGTGCAGCTTTCCATCTTCTCCCATCGCTTCATGAGCATAGCAGGTTGGCTGGCAACCGTATCGGCAACAAAACCCCCCAAAAAACCCTCCTGTTAATACATATACTCATAAGAAGTCATCCATGTAAATTCTGACCTTTTGTGGGCCTGTAGAACAAATGGGCAGAGTTCTGCAAAGGACTTCCATCTCCACCAACATCAAGGAGCGTCTCGACTTCTCCTGTGCTGTATTTGGACCAGATGGCGGTCTGGTGTCAAACGCGCCCCACATTCCTGTCCATCTTGGTGCCATGCAGGAGACTGTCCAGTATCAGGCATGGAAGCTTTTCGCGCTGTGCACTTGAGCTTGTTTGACCCCAAATATTCAATTCTTCTTTTCTGTTTAGATCTTATCTCTGGGGGATAAACTAAAAGAAGGAGATGTGATTCTGAGTAACCACCCATGTGCCGGCGGCAGTCACCTTCCTGATCTCACAGTCATCACCCCAGTCAGTCACTGCCCCGCAGAATTTGTCTTGTTTTTCTTGTTTCTTACCTCGCCATGCTTTCCGACGCCAACACTCCCTCCTTGAATTCCAGGTCTTTCAGAAAGGTGTAAGTGGGCCGGTGTTCTTTGTAGCCAGCAGGGGTCACCATGCAGACATAGGAGGCATCACTCCTGGCTCCATGCCCCCACACTCCACCTCCCTGCAACAGGAGGGAGCCGTCTTCATTTCCTTCAAACTGGTAACAGGCGGAGTCTTCCAGGAAGAAGGTAGGCCAAGAACAAACGATTAGCCGTGTTTGTATTTATTTTTCAAGCGTTCAGTGCTGTGGATAGGATAGACCTTAATTAAACGTGTCGATATTTATTTCAGCTCTGCACAGGCACAGACTGCACTAAAAACGCAATATAACATAAAAGTTGTAATCACAGAAATGCAAAGATCTAATATTTGGATATTTAAATGATGGTGCAATCTGTTTTTAATCAAGACGTTTGAGATTATGGGGATAAAGACACATTTGCATAATCTCGCTTTTGAACAGCAAATGTCTGACAGACGTTTTTATTTAATTTTTAACCTCAAGCCCCATTTCATTTAGACACATCACTTACCCACGCCTTTGTATTTAATTAGGTTAAAATACTTAATGAAATAACACATTGGTCACGATAAAAGAACCACAGGCTCCCAATAACGTGCAGTGTGTGCAGCTTGACATTTTACATTCATTTCTTCCCACAACGCTTTTGTGTTTTGCTACTTGGCGGCTCTGGCTGTCCGCTCACCAGCGGTGACGGAGGCCCTGATGGCTCCGGCCCGGTACCCGGAGTCGTCCGGAACCCGGAACCTCCACGACAACCTGTCGGATCTGCGCGCTCAGGTAGCAGCCAACCGGAGAGGCAGTCAGCTGGTGGGGGAGTTGATTGACTGCTACGGTCTGGCAGTAGTTCAGGCCTACATGGGCTACATCCAGGTAACAGTGACTCCCAAGAACAAACGGCAGAGAGGAGACCTCTGGTAATGGCATGGCCGCTGCCCGTTGCAGAGCAATGCGGAGCTGGCAGTGAGGGACATGCTGAGAGACTTTGCGCGTCGTCGGCGACAACAGACCGGCTCCCTCGAGGTGGAGTCCGAGGATTTCATGGATGACGGCACCCCAATCCGCCTGCGGGTCCAGATTAACGAAGATGAGGTGATGACCGAATGAAGTCGACGCCATCTTGCCAGTGACCCGACATCATGATTCGCACTGACCTTCAAGGTTTTGTCTGGGCGTATGCAAATTAATGTAGCACAAGCAGTTCAACGGCAGAAAGTTTCAGTGTGCATTCACTACACCGCCAGTGCATTTCATTTCGTACCGCCTGCCTTCTGTTATCATGAATTTATGACGTCCGCTCGAATGAGAGGCAAAACCTCTTCGGAGGAAACCAGAACAGTCCAGTTGCAATGCCCTGAAAATGGAATGACCGAAATGAACGAGAATATTCACAGACATGCTCGTGCCTGTTCTCCATCCTCCATGAACAAGGAAGTACCCCGCTTCACTCTTTATAGAGAAGACGGAATGTTGTTTTTGTCAAAAACCTCCATCGTGAAACACATTTTCACACTCCCAAAAAGTTGTTGCCATGCAACCAAACAAGTTTTCAGCTGAATCGCTGTCTTGGACTCTGCCTTGGAGTGAATACGTTAGCATTAATAGCCTTTGACCTCGACAGGGCACTGCTGTGTTTGACTTCACTGGGACAGGCACAGAGGTTTGGGGCAACTGCAACGCTCCACGTGCAATTACCCTCTCGGCCCTCATCTACTGCCTGCGCTGCATGGTGGGACAGGACATCCCCCTCAATCAGGTCTGATGCTTCTCTCGCTCTCGGCTTCATCTCATTTGTCTGGGACATCCATCGCACGAGTTGAGCCACAAAGCCATGAAATGACCTTTTGAATGCTTTTCTCCCCACACACACTCAGGGCTGTCTTGCCCCGATCACAGTCGTCATCCCCCCGGGTTCCATCCTGCAGCCTTCACAGAATGCCGCTGTGGTTGGTGGGAATGTGCTCACGTCGCAGCGAGTTGTGGATGTCATTTTCAAGGCATTTGAGGTCTGCGCCGCCTCCCAGGTAAGGATGGCTGGGATGCGATGACGGTAAGGTCATCATTGCGTTTGAGAAGTGGCCCTTGTTTGACAACCCACATCCTTTGTTCTCAGGGTTGCATGAACAACGTTTCATTTGGCAGCGACAAAGTTGGCTATTATGAGACCGTCGCTGGTGGCGCCGGGGCAGGGCCAAGCTGGAATGGGAGAAGTGGCATTCACAGTCACATGACCAACACCCGCATCACTGACCCAGAGATTCTGGAAAAGAGGCAAGACACGAGATTTGGTTGAACAAAAGATTAATTAAAGCCCTGTCTCATATAAAACGATTGCTTTGATGCCATCTTGGGGTATTTTGATGCCAAGGAACTATGTTGAAGTGAGGGCCGGGGGCTTCATTTAGTCAGCCCATAGCCCCGTCTAATAGGAAAGTGGTTCTTGTCCACAAATTGCTGCCCCTATAAAACTTTTGGAGCAGTTGTCATTTACTTGTGGCGCGCCTCCAGCGTAGGAATTCTGGATCAGACCATTGGGTCTCAACTCTTACCATCCTGGGACCAACATCTTTGCATTTTAAAGAAGTTAAAAACAAAAAAAGTATTTTTTGTTTGCTGCCTCTGAAAATAGATGTACAACGCATGTTATATTTCTTTAACTATGTTTCAAATAAATTTGACTGTTCCACCAAAAGCATTTTGCTTGCTTGCTAACCAAAGGCTGAGCTGCGCTGCCTATGTTTACATAATCCTGTAAACTAGTGACTAGAGCACAAATGAGTAACATTTCCTGTCACTTAACGAATATGTTCCACGTTGGTTACTCTGTATTGAACGTAGTAAAACAGAATACAAGTACCTGTAATGTTTGAACTGCTGTCCACGAATCAACCAAAAATGGGTGCGCGACCCACTCTTCGGTCCGGACATACCAGTTGAGACTCACTGGTGTAGATCAATTTTATTTCAGGGTTTCCATGCAACAAGTAGCAAAGCATTGCGCAATCTAGTATCGCAGCTAAGTTGTGCGCTAACTATGTTTGTTAGGTACCCGGTGATTTTGGAGCAGTTCTCTTTGCGGCCTGCTTCAGGAGGTGCAGGGAAGTACCGTGGAGGGGACGGTGTGATACGGAAGCTCTTGTTCCGTGACAAAGTCGTCCTTTCTGTACTGAGTGAGAGGCGAGCCACGCGCCCCTATGGCCTTGAGGGTAAACTCATTGAAACTGACTTCAAAATGTTGTGTTTGAATTGCGTAACCCTTTTCAACAATGTTCTCTTTCTCTGCTGGTCAGGGGGGGAAGCCGGCGCGGCGGGTCTGAACCTGCTTCACAGAGCTGATGGCAGAGTGCTCAACTTGGGTGCCAAGACTAGCGTCAGCCTTCAACCCGGGGTAGGACATCAAAATGACCTCTTTTCGATGAGTTGGATTCGAATGGATGAGTTCAAAACAGGGGTTCAGACCATTTTAAAGGGGTTCTTCAAGCCAGCTTAAATAATATTCAAAAAGATCGGACTCATTTTTACCTTCGCCGATCCAGAACAATTACGTACATTACGTTGAGAGGCTGGATCAGCCTGACGGTTGGGAATCCATGTGCTAATTTCAGTCCGCGTGTGTTTGTTTCCATCTACAGGACATGTTCTGCCTCTACACCCCTGGGGGAGGGGGCTATGGGAAGGTGGAGGAAGCAAATAGAAAACTACAGACAAAGCGCAGGCGCTTGAATGAGACTTTCCCCGAGAGAGGCAGCGTCTTTGAATACCGCATGGCACAAGAGGGAGTGTGACAGAGCGGAAACAAAGCAAATATAAGTGGAAAGGTGCGGCGCTTTGAAGGAATGACAAGATTAGGAGTTCAGAGCGAGACGTCCTTTCAAAGGAGGCACACATTGCCACATTGACAAAAAGAGACGCATTAAAGGCACACGTTTCTCAGAAAAGCATTCGTCATTTATTCAACAACTATTTTTAAGGCCGACGTCTCCACGAGAATTTCAGATGACAACGGTGATGACAGTCACGCCTTGCTAAAATACATTTCTAACCATACATCAACGTTTGCAAGGGTTTACAAATCAGCAGCAAACCTTCCACCTTTATCTACCCGACACTTAATTTTTGGTTTGAAGATTTTTGGAGATTTTTTTTTTTTTTTAATGAAGAAAAACGGTTGAAAATTCTTCAATACATCTTCCCCCCCTCAACTGTAGTTTGAATACCGGAATATTTTGGTTGCTATCGGAACCAAGCACAAAAGGGTCTCGTCGCACAAGTCGTACATTTCAATTGGCGTGAGTGATTGCCGAGGTATAGCCCAGCATTGTCTTGTATTTGGGTGGGGTGCATGGGGTTTTGTTTCCCTCCTCCCTTTTTTGGGTGAGGAATGATGCAAGGGGGGGTGGGGGGGGGACGCATGGTGAAGGGAGTGCTGGCATGCGTAGGCTGCTGATAAAGAGATAGCGACCACTGCGGAGGAAGCAGCAGGAGGTTGACGGCTGCTGGATTTTGGATGTAAATCAGATGGCTTCTTCGCGCTCACTGCAAATTCCAATTCGGAGCCCGTGGATGGTTGATCAAAGATAACTTCCTTGTTTAGGGATCTCAATTCCTGTGCTCAAACACCATCTGTGGGGCGATGAAGATTGGAGACATGCCCCCCCTTTGAGCCTTCCCAGAATTATCTCCTTTAGTTTATCAGCTCAAAGCTTGCAAGAGCTGCGGTCTCATTGACACCAAACATGACTAATTTAAGCCTGAGCAACTATCAAAAGAAGGCTCTGTAAAATGCAGACGCCTAGATATTTTTAACGTTTTTTTTTTAAATTAAACTATGAATGGAAGAAAGGCGGAAGAATCTCTTGTACGAAAAGTAAAATAAAGTTTACTTTGACATACTTAAAAGCTTTAAAGGGTGAAGTACCACCTCAGTGTATTTTACACAAATTACATCAAAATTCCAATCCAGAGGACATTTACACATTTAATATGGGGAGGAAACCGTGTATTTTCCAACAACACTGGACATAACATTTGGGCTAAAACAGCATTTATTAGAGACCCTGTTCAACACTGTAACATTCCTTTAACCCCGGAGACAACCTTGAGGCTAAAGGATGCCTTTTTTTTTTTTTTTTAGGACAAAAATATTCACTTGTCATTGCAGTTTGACATTTATAGTTTTGATAGACAATCATATGACTTCAAAAGAGTGCAAATTAACCCCACAGTGCAGGGTCCACATTGCCGACAGTAGAAAAACGTGAGGTAGCAGTCCAACAGTGGAAAAAATACAGTATATATATATATATATATGAAAAAAAAGACCAACCTGAGCAATATTTACTTTAAAACTGCTACAAGCAATCAGCTTGATTGCTCTGCACTTGGAGTAATGCAGTATGAATGTCGATAATCATCCCCTTCTGCGCCTTCAATGCGCTATCAAAGCAGTTTAAATTGAATGTCGATAATGAGTTTGTAACGCCAGAAGGTTTTAGTATATGCCCCATTTACTGCCCTGCCCTCAAACAATTGTAAAATTCAGTACAAAACACATTCTGCTCCCCAGGAAAGACAATCTTAAAAAAAACAGCGCGAGTAAGGCCGGCAGTGCGGTGATAAATAAGTTTTATGTGGGCGTATGCAAATTGTTCTCCTTGTAGGATTGAGGTAGATACGTTTGGTTGTACAATATGAGGTAGTTTCTTCAATGATGAGTTGTTTTTGTTTGCACCCGTTACTCAAACAGAAATGTCAATTGTTGTTAGCATGCACTAAAGTGACAGTTTAAAAGAGTCAATAGCTCAAAAGAGTTTAATATGGAGCGTATCGGTTTAGGGCCGACCCATTCTGCAGTGTGTAGTGACTGGCTGGTTGGTGGTGCGTGTTTTGACTGGGTGGCATGAGTGCGTCAAACACACTCTTATTTGGTGGCACGGACTGCAGCATGTTGTCCAAGTCCATGATGAGCGGAGGAGGGGGTTGGACGGAAACCCGTCCGCTGGGGAGGATGGGCCAGTACGTGTGGCTCAGAAAGTGACCCGGCGCCACAGGAGAGCTCCCGTAGCCGTAAAGAGGAAGTCCACCATGTAGGGGCATTAGAGACCCACTGTTGAACCTCATGCTTGGCGGGGCCACCGCATTGGGTGGGGCGTATTTGGCATAGGAGGTGGGCAGCTCCCAAGGGGCTGCGATAGCATCCCGTCGCGCCGACTTATGGAGCGGAGGTTTATATTCCTCATAACTGCCCGATCCCGCTTGACCATCAGAGGGGAGACGCTTCCCATGAAGGGACGCCACCTTCCAGTCTTCTTCAGAGGAAGAGGAGGTGGTGGAAGCCGGGCTAGCCGAGCTAGCGGAAACACTGCGGGCAGAGGAGGCGTAACGGGGGCGCGGAGGGGGCGACAACTGGGGGCGCTCCATCTCACCCCAACAGTCTCTCATGCCCACATCCACGACCTCTGAGCCACTAGTGGGACGGAGGCTGTGGAGCAAAGAGTCGATAGCGAAGGATGAGTCCAGCTTGGGTCGGAACAAGTCCTCTTGCGCTGGGGAGAGGTTCCCGGACCGCATGGGAGGGAGGCTGGTCACGGGGTCACCGGGAGGCGGCGGCTCGAATTCTGGCTTGTGTCCCTGCAGGATGTAAGGGGCCAGATCCTGCGCAAAGATGGTCTCATCCTGGCGGGACACGGCCGTGTTCTGCCTCTTTAGCAGCTCCAAAGGAACGCAGCTCAGCTCCACGGCCCAGAAGTTCCCTTTGCCCTGCGGCTTGTTGGGATCTTTTAACACCTGCGGGTGGAAGCATGCGTAGAAAATGAATATTCAGAGCTGACCACGTAGTTGCACTGGCCCTCTTTCACATTTACTCGCAATCACCACCAATAGCAGCTTCAAACTGGTTTGAAGGTTTCAGCCAAAAGACCCTCCCTGAGTACTGCCGCAAGAAGTAGAAATGTGCAAATCGAAGCTCCGCATATGCAGTTTGGCCCAAAACTATCCAGACCCGAGCTAACCTATGTTGTCAATGATCCGAGTTAATTCGCATTTGTCGATCGGTTGTCTCAAAATGACAAGAAAGGAGCAAAAGACTGCTGGAACACACCAAGTTAGATACAAACATTCATTTTCGATATATATTTTTTTCCTTTTTAAAAACAATCGGCGGCCGGATAGGCACGCGCCACTTATTGCAATTTCTTATCATTTATTTCACTCCAAAATTGTCCTCATTTTGGACGCTGATTTTAATCGTCTCCAAATGGTTTGCATTTGCAATGGTCGTCTTCAAGTGATGAATGTCAAAATATCATTCACTGAACTTCTTTCACCGCCAATCTACGTCAGCATACGAACCTTAACGAAACAGTCATATGAGGACAGGTTATGTCGCACAGAATCCCTCCAGCCTTTGTAATTCCCCTTAAAGAATGGGAAGAGGGTGCTGATCTCCTTCAGAATCTGGAACCAGAACAACAAAACAAATCACTGTACAAGTCGGAGATATGGCGACAAGGGTGAATTTCTCTTGGCATTGATTCACAAGAAGCTGAAATGAAATGTCCTGTATTTGAGATGCATGTCGAGCCTAATGAACCGTACTGGATCGAATGATGTTCGTGATACAGATCGCTATCAGCGGTTTCTCTGTAGCACGAGCTTATCACAGCAAGCCCAATACAATACAGTACTGTAATGGCATGGCTGTCAGTCACTCAAATGTCAATAAGCTTTGATGTGTGTGTGTGTGTGTGTGTGTGTGTGTGTGTGTGTGTGTTTTTGTAACATTCACACAACACCCATCGTATAGGCAACGACGAGATTTTGTTTACTTGAAGAAATGTCCTCTTTGAATGTATTATCCGAGTTCATGACTTCCAAAGTTAAACAGGTCCGTGCGTAAAACAACACCCAAAGCGACATTGCGTGCATTTGCAGTCCGAAGCGTGTTTTGTATTCCACTCTACCTCCGCTAAAGTTAACTTCTTCTCCGGAGAGCGTTGAATCACCATGGCAATCATTGCAAGGTACGAGTATGGTGGTTTGGGGTAGCGCTGATAATTCTTCTTCTTGCCACCTCTTGCGCCGGTCGTCTCCCGCTCAGCGCTCCACGCGTCCCGGGGAACAGCTTCGAGTTCGGGCTCGGCATCGCGAGCGTTCCCGCACGACGGCTGCGGTGCCGAGAGTTTCTCCATCAATGCGCCGCCGACGCGACCCCGCGGGTGCGCAACTGCGGGCTCCTCCGAGCTCGGCGGCGGGTGCTGGTTGTTCCGGTGCCGGACCGCGGAGCTCCGCGCTACGTGGCCGGGCGGACAACTTTGCCGCGGATCCCAGCTTAAGTCGAGCTGGTGGTCTCCGAGGTGGGAGAGCGCGG